CTTTCTCCTTCACTCTCTCTCTCCGACCTATTTCTTTCCTTTCTCCTTCACTTTCTCTCTCCCACCTATTTCTTTCCTTTCTCCTTCACTTTCTCATTCCCCTTCCCCCCTACTTTGAATTCTTTCTGTTTTTCTTCTTCCTATCTCTCTATTAATTTATCTTTTCTCTTTTTTCCAAAAATTCGAATTATTCCCTTCCCCACCTTCTTTTCTCATTTTCTGATTTATATCATTTGTTTTTTTATTTATTTTGAAAAATTGATTTTCTTTACGACAGCCCTAAATCTGATTAGGTGTTAGTATTTCTTGCTTTTGGCACACGTTTTGACCTCGTGGGGGTTCTCTTACTTAGTCTTTTTCGGCACACTTCGACCCCATGGGAGTAACGAAATGCTGCCAAAATTTTTTAAAAATCAGATACCCCATTTTTCTCCACCTCCTCATCCACTTATTTACTTATTTATTTATTTATTTATTTATTTATTTATTTATTATTTCTGAAATTTTTTATTTGCGGCAGTTTGAAACCTAGTGTGCTTATTTAGGCCTCCCCTTTCCCCTTGGCACATTCTTGACCCCATGGAGGGTAGGAAAATGCTGCCGAAAATTTTAAAAAAATAAATATTATTTTTTCTTTTCACATTTTGTTTACTTCTTCCCTTAATTATTTTTATTATTTATTTATTTCGTTATTTATTTTCTTTTTCTCTTGAGATCTCGCTGCTTATTTATTTTTCTCCCACCTTCCCCCCCTATGCTTGCTATTTTATTTTCTTGATTATGTCACTAGTACCCTACCCTAATCACTCAAACTCCGGTTAGGGTTTTCTTAGGGTTTTTCTAGGGTTTAGGGTTCTTCCCCCCCCCCCCCGCCCCCCTATTCGGGCGCACTGGACCCGAACCACCCCTCCCCCTTTGACGGCGCCCGTGCCAGCCTTGCTAGCGCCGTCCGCCGCTTTCTACCGCGGACCCCCCCTACGCCCTCCGCTTACGCTGACCTCCTCCGACCCCCTCCAGTCCGGTCCGTCACCTTCCCATGACCAACGGTGCGTCACACGCCGCCGACGCGGCGACGACCACGGCACCGGGCTCCATACCCGTGTCAACGGACCAGGGCCACCAACCCCAGGGGGATCTACACATCCTCCTCACCTCCCTCCTTGCGCCTATTTAGGCACAACTCGCGGTCCTCGCGCCCTTACAGGCGCAGGTGGCGACCCTTGCCGCCAGTATGCAACAACTCTAGGACGCTGCCTTCCCTTCATCTCCTGGCTCCCAGCCCGGGTACCCCGTCCTCCGACAGGGCGGCCACAGCGGAGCGTCCTCCTCCGCTGCCCCCGACCCCGCCATCTTGGTGATTGTTCACGCCCCTAGCACGACGGCCGCCACGAGCCAGGCCCTCCCTCAGTCTACGGGCGCACCCGCCCAGACTCTGGTCCCTACGGCCACGGGACCACAACCCGCTACCATGGCTGCAACTTTTCTGGGCGCCCCGCTTCTACCTCCCCTTCGCACGACCGCAGCGCCACCTTGCTCTCCCTCCTCTGGGATGCCCCGCGCCGCTTGTGCGTCCACTTCCTCCACTCTTCCCCCCTGCCACTCCTCGCTCGATCCACGTCCAACGTCTCGAGGACGAGCTTGCCCAGATCCGGGCCGACCTCGCCCTCTTACGCCTTCAGCCACCCCCACCCTCACAGGTGGCCTCGCCTTCGGGAGAGCCCCCTACCTCCTCTACCCTTCCTCCCATTCAGGCTCGCTTTCCTCGCCCTGCACCCTATCCAGCCCCATCCTACCTTCTTTCTACTCCCGCGGTTGCTGCGACCTCTTCTACCGCAGCACCCTCGCAGCCTGCCGCTGTTGCCACCGCTGCTCCCCCATGCGGCCCGGGCGCACAGTCAGCTGCAACCCTTTCTCCAGGACCTGCGTCGACATACTCAGTCGTGGCACACGCCTCCGCTCCTCGATCCCCTCGCCGCCAAAACAGTGACGCACCACTCATCCGCTTGTCGGACATTGCTTTGTATGACGGTACAGGCATACGCGTGTCTCGGTGGCTGCAGTCTGCCACCCGCACGCTCCAGCTCATGGGCGCCACACCCGACACGTGGGTGGGACACCTCTCCACGCGCCTGCGTGGCGGTCCTTTCGACGCCTGGGAGGATTTCTACGCTTACTCACTTCGTGAGGGTCGGACTCCGACCTTAATGGATTTCCAGGCGTTCCTCGAGGATCGCTTCGGAGCCCGATATGACGTAACTGACGCCTTTCAGCGTATCGTCACTACACGCTGGTCCGGCTCTGGTGGCGTTGCCGCACTGGATCACTACATCCAGGTCTTTTAGGACGCCCGCCTCATTTGTGACGTGACGTTTCTCCCCGAGGTTGCCCTTATCGATCGTTTCTTGGCCAGCCTTCCGCTCGAGTGCCGCTCCGAGTTATGGCGGTACGAGTTCACATCGGCCCCGCAGGCTTACGAGGCCGCCAGGGACCATCAGCGGATGCGGGCTCGTCTTCACCCCGCCTCCTCCTCCCAGCCTTAACGCACGGGTTACGCCTCCTCCTCCTCTTACGGCACTTCCCAGCGCCGCTCCACTTTCTGCGTCGCCCTCTCCGGTCTGCGCTGCAGGGCCGCCACTTCTCGCGCCGCTTCAGCTCGCTCGAGTATGGTGAGCAGGACGCTGGTGCCCCGCTGTCGCCAGAGGGTGACCATAGCGACGACCTCGACCTCGGCGAGGCCGTCCACCACCACCTGGAGGACTCTACTCTCCCTATGGCCGAGCGCCTCCAGCTCATCCTCTCCGCCCTCTCTCGGGTACGCAGCCGCCCCGGTCACACTGGCGCGTCGCCCCCCGAGGTCCCTCAGCAGGACCTCCCTCACGGCTTTGTCCCTCCTCGCGGTGTCCTTTCCGATGAGGAGCGTGCAACCATTTTGGGCCAGTGTGGATGTTTGCAATGCCGTCAGGACGGTTATACCTCCTCGCGGTGCCCTTACACTACCGCCCTTGACCGCCACTACGCTGACCTTTCCCGCCAGCGTCGTGCTTTGTCCCCCCCCGACGCCTCGCATCCCCGCAGCGCCTCCTAGCCACGGTGCATTGTACACCTGCGCCCTCCTCAATAGTCGGCTTCCCGATATCTCCGTCGCGGTTCGCCCCTCTCGCTAATAGAGCTGAGATATCACTGGAATCGACAGAATGTACTCAGCCCTCTGTCGCAGTGTCGTCTGCGTCTCTGCAGACCATTGTCTCCTCTCCTACCCCGCCTCGACTACCGATGCGTCGAGCCATTCGCTCAGCCCGTTGCAGCGAGCAGCTTGCTACTTGCGAGGACGTTGTGTCCTCTCTTCTCGACTTTGGCATGCTCCAGGCTTGTCAGGAGCGACTCACCCTCCATATCGCTGCGCTGCGTCGCCTTCTCGTCATCCTCTCTGACCCTGATCACACCCTCCCGATCATCCCAGTACAACTTGGGACCTCCACGAGGGTGTACTCAGCGATGTGGGATTCCGGTTCTCAAGGCGACTTCATTCACCCATGTGTGGTGAAAGAAACCCTCTTACCCACGATAGGGTCTCCGACTCCCATGTCCGTTACCCTAGGGGATGACAAGACCCAATGCTCCTTCGATCATACGGTCACCGACCTCCCTTTCTTCCTCACTCTCGAGCCGACTGATCGTCCCCCGGCGTCTCATCGCCACCGCTCCTCTGCGCATTTCGATGTGATGGAGACGGGATACGACTTCATTCTCGGCACTCCGTGGTCTCGTCGGTTTGGCAGCACGGAGGCCGATTGGGCGACCAACACTCTCGTTCTGAAAACGAAGTGTGGACAGACGTATCGCGTACCTTTCATAGGTACCACTGCGACACCACGCCCCGATCCCCCTTCCCCGGAGCCTTCCGTGCCCACACCACCTCCTTCTATCACTGTCACCTCGCCTCGGCAGTTCGCCCACTTCATCCGACAGGACGACGTCACCTTCTTTATGGTGAACGTGACAGATCTCTTACACTATGATCCACCCTTTACCGACGCCGAGTTCATCCCTCTAGAGCCAGATCCTCCTTCTATCTCCATGGCTCCCATCTCTACTTCCGTCCCTCCGCCGTCCGTCGAGTCCACCCCGTCGTCGCGTGCTGACGCTGACGCTGAGGAACTCACACGATATACGGCCGACCTGAAGCCCGCAGTTCGTGACCTCATCCGAGAGTACCATGACGTTTTCCTATCTTCGTTCTCGTACGCCGACATCCCACTGATGCGTGACGTCGAGCACTCCATCCAGCTTTTGTCTGACTATCGTGTTCACCACCAGGCACCCTACAGACTCTCGATCCCTGAGGCCACCGAACTCAAGGGTCAGCTTGAGGAGCTCCTGGCATTGGGTTTCATTAAACCCAACAACTCCCCGTGGGGTGCATCCGTCCTCTTTGCTCGCAAAGCGGATGGAACTCTTCGTCTCTGCAACGACTACCGCGATCTCAACCGCTACACGGTTAAGAACAGCTACCTCATGCCTCGCTCCGACGAGCTGTTCGACCCCCTAGCAGGCAACCGCTTCTTTACGAAGATTGATCTTCATAGCGGTTACCATCAGATCCGCGTCGCTGCAGTAGACCAGCCGAAGACAGCGTTCCGATCGCACTTCGGCCACTATGAGTTTACGGTGATGCCATTCGGCCTCACCAACGCACCCGCTACCTTCCGGAGGGCGATGAACGATATCTTCAGGGACATCGTGGAGCAGTACGTTCTCGTCTACCTCAACGATATCCTGGTCTACAGTCGTACCCTTGAGGAGCATCTCAGACACCTCCGTGACGTCCTTTACCGCTTGCGCAGACATGACTTCTATGCCAAGCTGAGCAAGTACCGCTTTGCCCAGCACAAAGTTGATTTCTTAGGACACTGCGTGTCTGACCAGGGTCTCCACATGGATGACGAGAAGATCACTGCTATTGCGGAGTGGCCCGCCCCCACATCCGCCAAGCAGCTTCGCAGCTTCTTAGGCCTTACTAGCTACTATAGTAATTTCATCCAGGGATACGATAGGTATTCCTACGTCCTTACCTCCACCCTCCTCCGGAAGAACCCGCCCTGGGCTTGGACACCCCTCCACGAGGATGCCTTCTGCGCCCTCAAGAAGGCGGTGACATGCGCACCGGTTCCTCATCTATCTGATTTTGATCGCCCTTTTATCCTTACCACCGATGCGTCATACTTTGCTGTAGGAGCAGTGCTTTCTCAGTTTTTCCCCTCCTCCCCTGATTCCTCTCATCCTCGTATCCCTCGCTTCCCACCACCTACCCCTACCACTGCTTCCCGACTAACGCCTACTCGTCTAGCTACTAACGAGCCGTCTATTGACTATTCTCCTACGATCGCCGAGGACGGCACTGTCGAGTCTTGCTCAGGTGATTGTCTGATAGTCTTCTACTCCCGTCAGCTCCTGCCCGCTAAGATAAACTACACCGCTGATAAACGTGAGGTTCTCGCAGTAGTTTATGCCGCTCAGCACTAGCGTCACTACCTGCACGGGGCACCGTTCACGGTGCGCACAGACAACTCTGTTGTCCAGGCTTTTGTGACTAAGCCGAAACTCACTCCTCGATAGGCTCGCTGGTGGCGCGACCTATCCGAGTTTAGTTTTACCATTGAGCACATCAAGGGTGAGACTAATCGGGTCACAGATGCCTTATTCCGGCACCCTGACCATGACCAGGAGCAGATCCAGCTCTCTTTCATCTCGGTCACCACTGTCCACCACTCGGTGATCGTCGAGTTTCGCACTCAGTACCGCCACTGCCCCGATTATCGCGACATGATGCCGACATCCACGCGACCCTTAGGAGTGGCAAGACTGTCCCGAACTACTCAATCGGGGACAACGGTCTTGTATACTGGCACGCTTCACAGGGTACCAGCGAGCCCCGTATTTGCGTTTCCTCCACTGGACAGCTACGTGTCTGAGCAGTAGCAGAGTTCCATGACCAGGCAGCCGTTGGTCATATGATCTTCCACAAGACGTTGGCTCGTGTGAGCTGCCTGTACATCTGGCCGAAGCGCAAGGACTTTGTGAAAAACTACGTCGCATAGTGTCCCACCTGTCAGGAGGTGAACAGTGCGAACCACCTACCTTATGATTTGCTCCAGCCTCCTTCTATCCCTGAGGGTCATTGGCAGTCCATCTCGATGGACTTTATCGGTCCTCTTCGTCCTTCGACCCCCCGCGGTCATGATGCTATCCTGGTCGTCGTCGACCGCTTCACGAAGCGTGCATGCTTTGTTCCGTGCCGCTATGCCATCAGTGCACGTGAGGTCGCCGACACAGTGTTTGACCGAGTCGTGCTTGACCACAACTTACCTTTGAGCATCATATCTGACCGTGACTCGCGCTTTACCAGCCGATTCTGGAGACGGCTCCACGAGGTGTATGACACTCAGCTCCGCTTCTCCTCGTCTTACCATCCCCAGACTGATGGTCGGACCGAGATCACGAATAGGACTCTCGGAGATATTCTCCGAAAGATTGTTCGTGATGACCAGCAGTGGGATCTCCATCTTGCCCACGCGGAGATAGCCTACAACCACGACGTTTCGCTAGCCACGGGGATGTCGCCTTACTATTGCGACCTTGGCTATCACCCTCCTGTTCCCACGGATTCTTCGACCGTCACAGATACACCCCGACACGAGTGTTTCTTGCACTGGATGGCTGGGTTGCACACATGACATCGATCATGAAAATTGCACATGAACACATAGCCGCGTCCCAGACTCGCATGGCAGCACGTGCGAACCGATCGAGGATGGATCATCCATTCAAAGTCGGTGATGATGTGCTTATCGACGCCCACCACTTACAGCTCGAAGCGAAGACGCTTCGCAAGTTTCGACGTCGCTTCTTTGGACCATGCCGCATCCTTCAGGCCGTCGGTTCCGGTACAGCATCTACCCTGGTCAACTTCCGTGTGAAGCTGCCAGACTACCTACGCCAGGCTCGTGTGCACGATGTCTACCACGTCTCGTTACTGCGTCCTTACCGCAGACCGTCTGAGCATTTCGCTGGACGACCATACGAGCGTCCTCCACCCATCATGGTGGACAGGCACGAGGAGTTCCTCGTTTCAGACATCATTGGTCGCCGAGTCACCGACGACGACCCTCCCCATGTCGAGTATCTCGTACGTTGGAAGGGTTACACTGATGAGGAGGCTACCTGGGAGCCCCACGAGCACTTGCAGCACGCTCGCATGTTGGTGCGTGCATAGGACCGTGCTCGTCGTGCTGGGTTCACTGCTCCTCCTCAGCCCACTGACCCTCCTCCTTCTCCCCCGACTGAGGAGACCGCGGAAGTCAAGCCTGCTCCATCTGAGGCAGACCTTCAGCAACAGCCGGATGCTTTTGAGCGTCCACAGTGCACTCGTCGTCGTCCTGCTCGATACGACGATTGACTCTGACTTACCTTCCCACGTCCTTGACTTCTCAGTACTCAATCCACTCCAGTTTTGCTACTTCGGCTCGTCGACGTTGCGGCCCTTCCTCGACGGCATTCCGGACTTCTCATTATGGACGTCATCGGCATCTTCATGGACTTCGTCACGATCATCTCTGCCTACTTCAGACGTCATCACTCTCTTACCACTTTACCCTGTACAGTACCCTTTTTGTGTCGCATGATGGTCTCCCTTTCGCCGGGTTCCTCTGAGTTGGGCTCTCCCTTGGTATACGCATAGGCATTGGGACCGTAGCGTTGCCCTGGCTTCCCGCCTTACGGATCTAGCTCCGACCTCCCTCACTTTAGGAGTCATTTGTGATTCCCGTACCCATCATCTTTCTACCCTCTGCCGTCCCTCACGCCCTAGTTAGGCAGCCCCGCATGCTTCATCTAGGTGCGCCCAGTATACCAGGTTCCCTTGTTCCCTTGCATGGTCGACCCTCCATAGCAGTCACCCCTTAGTCGAGCTTTACCCGCCCTGATGGTCTATCTGTTAGGGTCATTGGTTCTGTTCGCTCCCAGTTCCCTACCCTCATTGAGCCTGATGACATATGTTCCCCCTGTCACTATGTGTGGATGCCCTTAGGAGTTTTCGACCCCTAGGCTGCATTCACCACCCTCAGAGACCATCCCACCCTTTGGTTTGCGACACACTTCTCCTGCGACATATGGTTGACTTGTTGTTGCGTGTGCTCCCTCACTGAGGCTACTGCCTCTGACATTCCTAGGATTTAGCTGTTCTTAGGACTTAGACACGAGTCAGTTGTTCCTAGACTGAGGCTATTGCCTCCAACATTCTAGGATTTAGTTGTCACTACTTTCTGCTTTCCTATGACATGTAATATGCTAGTTACTTGCTTCTGCTTTCCTAGGACATGTATGCTAGTTAGTTGCTTCTGCTTTTGCTTAGGCTGTTAGCTGTGACATTGCTCTTTTTGTGACATTTTATATCCTAGGTTGCATCGCATGGACTCAGCATGGAGCTCGCTCCGCATCCTAGACTACTCAGGTTTTCTTTTCTTTGGTAGAGTTCCGCTTTTTGGCGGAAGCGTGCTTGTATCTATGCGATCCATCACAGGCCGAGAATCGTGCAGCGGACCTCTGGTTGGCCTGTGAGACCAGCCCCTTGGCCTGTTCTCACAGGCCTGTGCTCTATTCGGGCGTAGTCCAGTCCAGGCCAGGCCGGTACCTCTGTCGGTACCAGCCAGTCCAGTCCAGTCATGTCAGTCCGCTGGGGTATAACCGAGTAGTTGTCTGTTTTCATCACCATTCTACATTCGAACAGTTTTGGAGTACGTGCGCTGGAGTCTGCGTGGGAGCTGCGCTGTGCTGTCTCGTTCCTCCCTCGTCCTCCATCTCCATCATCATCCCTAGCGGAGCACCACACCTGGTGGGTCCGCTACAGATGGTGATACCAAGCTCTTGCGTGACCAAGAGCAGAGCACTACCAAGATCCCCAAGATCTTGGCCTTCAAGTTGTTGCTGGCCTGATGCCACTGCAGTAAAAAAATCTGGGGTGGGCTGAGATCTTGATCAGCCACCCAGATGTCACTGTAGTGCAGCCCCCTACCAAGATCCACAGCAAGCTGCCACGTGGCACTGCAGAGAGGCAGCA